TCTCTCTCTCTCTCTCTCCCAGTACAGCTACCAGAGGGAAGAGAAGATGCACGTAGTTGGTGCAGTCGCAGGTGGCTCGGACAAGCAAACACGACAGGTGTGGCGGCTGATCGGAGTGTTGACTGATCTCCGCATTATGTTCCAATGGGATAATTCACATACAGATCGTGATAACCCTGATAAAAGTAACATTAGTGAGTCCGAGGCCGATATGCAATCTATAAGAGGGTCCGCCCTTCGTTGAGCAACACCGTGAGCCCTTAAACTCTGTAGTCCGAGTATCGTGCTTGGCAGAAGCCACCGTGCTTTAGGAGGGCGAGTGCAGTTGCAACCGGCGCACTGAATGTACTACCAAGCGGAAAACTGCGCGATAACCGCGGTCGCAGGCACTGTCTCCTTGACCGACAGGAACTCGACTCGCCCGGTCCGAGGACAGAATACTTGCCCTCCCCCTCCATTTTACGTCTGATGCACCACCACCACCACCATCCATTTCGGGAGCCAACACCCATACATGCGCAAGGATATATATACAGGTAATTAGAAGAGGCAAGACCTTACCGATCGAAGAGAGCACTAAGTTGCAAGCGATCGAAGCGAATAATACAGTAGCGCGGAATGAAGGGCAGCAGGCGAACGCGGTACGCAATGTTAACGCGACGCGAAGGCTTGGAAGATGTTCGTCCCCTGACGTTTAGGGATGAGCTGAATACGCCCTGTCCCGAGCGTTCATAGGGTGGTTCTGAATAAACAAGAGATAAGATAAAAAAAAATTACAGCCGCACTATATGACTAGGAAGCGCGTCAACATCATATGAAAACGGTGACACCACAAGTACGACATGCAGACATGAGTGAAGGTCCAAAACAACTGAAAATGCAAGTTGTGTATATGAAACAATCCAGAGGGAGTACTTTCCTAGTTATTGGATGGTAGATGAGCACAGAAGAATACAAAGCCACCACCGCATCAAATACGACGAAAGAGAAGTTAAATGAATAGATCTAAACGTGGAACAAGAAGTCTGTTGACCTGACGTTTCGGATTTTCGCTCGAACTCATCATCAGGGAATCGCAAATAAAGGTAATGGAGGCACAAGAAGCGCAGTATTTATAACCATTAACAGCTCTTGCGGTCACCGCTGGGAAGTTGATTCCCATATTCTGTGCTGACACCGCGCCTGGGCAGGGGGAATCAGTCATCTGGGGAGGGGGGCGCCAGCGACCAAAACCTCCAATTGCAGCGTAATCATCACGTCAACATCCAACAAGGATGATGAGATCGTCCACATTAACGATTGGATGCGGACTGCCGACCGACAGCGGTAATTGGCAGAACTGCGCGTGTAGCACGCATGTGTTCGTGTGTCCACTGCGAAATGTAAATAGTGCGCACCTTGTGCGTCATTATCTTTATCAGCGACTGACGCCAAG